ATAATGCGCTGACTCTCCCCCCCCCCCCCCCCCCGCCTTTAGATGGAAAAGTGCTTTTTCCTTTTCAAAATCTTACATCTAGTGGGTTCTGAAATGCTGTTGCCTTGTAATCAAATGGTCAAAATGACTGCTTTTAACGATCGGCAACAACCCTTGAGAACAAATGGTCACATCATCTTTTACTTTCTCTTTCCATCTCCTATATGCTGAGCTTCACTTGAGTGCTGATGGACACTTGTGGGATGGGCAGCATAGAACCACAAGAGCAATTACCGGTTTCATCAGAAATGTGCGCCTAAAAGAATCTCCGGGAACTGTTTCGGGAAGGGTTAGTGTTAAAATAATGACTTACCAATGGTCCTGGAGGGCCGGGATCTCCTTTTTGTCCCGGAGGTCCACTTGGGCCAATCAGTCCAACATCTCCTGTGCGTCCTCTGTCTCCCTGGACACCTCTCTCTCCGGGAATTCCCGGATCGCCCTGCATGAGTGAAACCCGAACATGCAAAACATGTTGCTAGCTGAATTAACTACCTTCACCATTGCGCTTATACTGTAGCCTTTTGAAAAGGCACTGCCTAATCTCAGGATCTGTTTGTACATGACGTTTCATACTAATCTGTCCTGTAATTAAGATGAATTTAAAGAAACGTTTCATGAAACGTTTCGGTAGAAGTTCTGTATTGTATGACTGAATGCAACCCGACTCTAATTATAGAGTGCATTTAAACAACCACAGTTTACAAAGTGCTTTCCAAGCACTGGAAGGTAAATTAAAAAACCCAAATAGACACATGGATGAATAAACCCACATTTAGAGTCAAATATGGGTAAAAAGAAATCAAATAGAAGGAGCAATGAAACAAGAGACCGAAAAATACAGCGAGCGATGATAATATGTGCGTCTTTAAAATGATTTAAACAGTAACGCTAATGAGTGTGTATACCGTATGATGGTGAGGTTATGTGGCTCATTTTTCATCACAAATCTTCCACTGAATTATAAAACTGTTTATGGGGGTATTTGGTTACTATGTGACGTGTACAATATGTGCTCAATATAATACAGTACCATGGGAATATTTTGTGCGCAATATTCATCCACTTTCTATACGCTTGTCTTCATTTGGGTCAAGGGTGAGCTGTGGAGGCAGGGTACACCCTTGACTGCATGTGAGTCAATCGCAAAGCACATATAGACAAAGAATCCTTCCCATGGGAAGAACATGAATGGGCCTGACTGAGCTGAGATTCAAACACAGAACCCTTGAGACTGTGAGGCAGATCAGCATCTCACACTATTCAGTCGTAGAACCCCCCCATATAGCTACTTACACGTTCACCTTTGGGGCCTCTGTCTCCCAGTCTCCCCGGTGCTCCCTTTAAATTAGAAGAATATAACAACTCAACACATGACAGGATATAAAAAATACGGACGGCATTCTCAATGCTAAAATACATTATTTCACACAACACATTGTTTTATTCATTAATAAACGCACATATGAATACATTTCTATCTATGGCAGGAGTATTGCAGAAATTCACACGCTGAACAAAAATTGGGAGAAAGTTTTTCCTGACCAAGATGAACGAGAGCTGATTGCTTATTACCCAGCCCAGGTGTATTGTTTGTCTAGCTTCCCGCAGTCTTTCACCTTCTGCAATGTCACGGCTATTCTGCATCACCCCTGCTGGCTTCTCTTTACTTTACTGTATATGCAGGAGCAGGGAGCGAAAAGTGAAGCTCTTGAGCTGCATGTCACAACATCTTGTGTCTTCCAACCCCTCCCTGTCACCCCTCATTGCTTTCTTTAAGCACACGCACTGCAACACCAACGGGAGCATCCTTGTATCCATTTCTAGCCGGATTAAAGTATCCGTGCAAGACAATCTGGCATATGATATGTATTATTTTTTTTTTAAAGAGGGCAATCCTCCCCTTACCTTCTTTAATCTTAACTACTCCCTATTCCCCAAAGCCCGATGAGTGCTTTAAATCTATCGTCTTGCCCATTGACTTCCTTCCCAGAGATTTACATGAAATCACAAATCTAAGGCGATTGGGCTAAAGAAGCAAAACCACCTGCTAGATGGCACTGTTTCTCTACCAAAAACCAGCCGGACAGCAGGGTAGTGAGACGTAACAAGACACTGCAGTGTAGGGATGAGAATATCCAGGAGGAATATCAACTAATAATCAGAGGAAGACAATAAACTATTGGGGCAGTCATTAGTATGCTCTGTGACATCATATTGTAAATCATAAAGGAAAATGTGGAGTGACTTCTGCGTTTCGCATACCTTCTCTGTATGATAATTTAGGAAACTGTATCTCACAAATTTGATGTGTTGTCAAAAAGCAGATTGTCTGTCTCTGTCTTTGTTTCAAACATTGATGAATTGCCTACTCGCATTAGCTGTGTTAGTGGAGTTAAATCAGCCAAGTCCTATATCTGCAGGCTTCTGTTTAGCTTAATCATTAAAATGTGAAACAATGTATGCAAATTGGTTTAATGCACTCAGGTAGCTTGAAAGAGGCGCGGTTGGGATAAAAATCTGCAGTGCCATCTCGCTGCAGCTCGACGGACGTGAAGCACTTTCCATAAGGGGATTTTGATGGTGTGCGCACAACTCACCTTGTAGCCGGGAGTTCCATCTTTTCCAGGTCTGCCCTGCTCAAGGTGCGCAACACAAACAAAGACATTTTGTATCAGCTCATTCGATTGGATCAGCGCCACTGCACCCCGGCTAATCTCCAATTTAATGGGATATCTCATGGATCCTGATTGCTTAGCAAATGCTCTTCCATTGTACGCTTGTCGAGGGAACATTACAGAAACCATCTTTTATGGTAATTACATCGAGGGATGTAATCTTCTAAATGTAATGGCACACCTATTTTTAGCCGTTGTTTGTGTATCATGTATTTGTTCCCGCTCAATGGTGAAACAACACCTTCTGAGGTCCTTTCAAGACCACTGTGTTGGTCAAAGCCTCGTTTACGGCGCGGGCATCCCGCTGTGGCGCTCTGGGAGCATGCAGCTGTGATTATAAGCGGAGGCCAGTAGAAATCATGTAAATTCTTACAGCAACACCTTGGGGTCCCTCGGGTCCCGGGAACCCCGTCTCTCCAAGTGGTCCCCTCTCACCCTGTCAGAGAACAGAGAAGAGCCACAACGTGTCAGTCGGCAGTGATAAAGGACTGACGTGCAGATTGACAGCTCAAAGAGAGTTGGAGGCTGCTGCTCACCGGCTCTCCTGGGATCCCTGGTTCTCCCCGAGGGCCGGGCTTCCCCTGTCAATCAAAACCAAAAGAAAAGAATCATCAGTGTTTGACAGACCCTCATTGGTGTCATATGTGGAGGGACTGTGCCGCTTCTCATTTATAATAGAACCAAGCTGCAGAGTACAAACACACAGCAGGTTATCCAGTGCGTATAAAAAAAAAGTCTACGCACCACTGTTTGAATGCCAGGCTTTTGTGTTATAAAGAAATGAGACCAAGATACATCACTTTTTTTTTTCACCATTGATGTTACCCGATACAAACAACTGATTTAGGAAAAATCGTTTTTTAACTCTTGTTAAAAGCGAGTTGGCACACACCTACCATCATTCAAACTTCTAAAGTCTGATTTACCCAAATTAAGTTCAGATGTTGTAGTAGACTTCTCCTCACATTTTCGTGGTCAATTCTAACAGCACAAGTCATGGTCCAATTTTATATGACATAATTGTCTTCAATACATGGAAATCAAGATGCATGTCTTCCTCATCTTAATGCTCTCCTCCAGAGTGTTTGTAGAAATGTCAAAGATTATGCCAGGACGATTGCAAATATTAATGTCAATCACCCTGAAGGGTTTTGGGGAAATGGTGTATTTATTCAAGTTTTTAAAACTTGAATAAACACTTTCGGTTTTTCAACACAAGTCATAGTCCAATTTTGTATCAAGTCAATGTTAGCGGGAAAACTTCAGAAAACTCTGTAACAACATCATCTCAATTGGTTATTTTTCTTCCCCTCTCAAAATGTATTCTGTTTTTGTTTCCATATGAGTTACAGGTTATTGGTCCCCCTGACCCCCTCCCCCCAAAAAAACCCAAAACATTTGAAACAATATACCTTGGTCTCTTTTTGTTTGTTTGTTTTTTTATATCACAAAACCTTGCATTGAACTTGGGGTGTGCACGCTTTTTATATCAACAATATCTGAACTGATCTTGTGTAGCGTGTGGAACCTTGGAAAAAAACAGACAGTCGATTAAGCTTTGAGTTGCATGATTAAGCATGAGTTGGCATGAACAAACAAACAGCCGCAACATTGGGTATATCTGCACCATTCATGCGGTTCTTGTACTTTTTAATTTTTTTTTTTTTTTTACATTAAGATACAGACTTAGCACGTCTGCCTCATAGTCAAGCGGTCAGAAGTTCATCTCGGCTCAGGCGCTCCTGTGTAAAGTTTGCATATTGGCTTGGGTTTCCTCCGTGTACCCGCCATTCTAAAAACAAGCGAGTTAGGCTAACTAGAGAGTCTAAATTGCCTATATGTGTAAATGTGATGTGAATGGTTGAATGTCTTGCCCTACGATCGGGTTAGGCTGCAGCTCACCTATAACAAGCGTGGAAGAAAATGCGTACGTGGATGGACAGTGCAGGTGTACCGAATGAACAAACCGATAAGTATGACTCAAAGGAAACGACTTACTGTCGGGCCTGGTATTCCAGGTGCACCAGACAGACCAACATCACCCTGAAGAAAACATTGCAGTCATGTCAGACACACAGTGCATATAAAATAATGCAGTGTTTTTTTGTTTTTCCACATCATTGTCATGCTTTTGACAACAGGATAGCAGAAATTGAAGGTTAATTTGAAAATAACATGATTTCTACCCACGATCACAAAAGCTGATGAAGATGATAATAAAAGCTAATGAACTTGCACTTTGCAGGTCTTCACTTCGACAGCATTTCTCTAATTACATCGAGGGATGTAATCTTCTAAATGTAATGGCACACCTATTTTTAGCCGTTGTTTGTGTATCATGTATTTGTTCCCGCTCAATGGTGAAACAACACCTTCTGAGGTCCTTTCAAGACCACTGTGTTGGTCAAAGCCTCGTTTACGGCGCGGGCATCCCGCTGTGGCGCTCTGGGAGCATGCAGCTGTGATTATAAGCGGAGGCCAGTAGAAATCATGTAAATTCTTACAGCAACACCTTGGGGTCCCTCGGGTCCCGGGAACCCCGTCTCTCCAAGTGGTCCCCTCTCACCCTGTCAGAGAACAGAGAAGAGCCACAACGTGTCAGTCGGCAGTGATAAAGGACTGACGTGCAGATTGACAGCTCAAAGAGAGTTGGAGGCTGCTGCTCACCGGCTCTCCTGGGATCCCTGGTTCTCCCCGAGGGCCGGGCTTCCCCTGTCAATCAAAACCAAAAGAAAAGAATCATCAGTGTTTGACAGACCCTCATTGGTGTCATATGTGGAGGGACTGTGCCGCTTCTCATTTATAATAGAACCAAGCTGCAGAGTACAAACACACAGCAGGTTATCCAGAGCGTATAAAAAAAAAGTCTACGCACCACTGTTTGAATGCCAGGCTTTTGTGTTATAAAGAAATGAGACCAAGATACATCACTTTTTTTTTTCACCATTGATGTTACCCGATACAAACAACTAATTTAGGAAAAATCGTTTTTTAACTCTTGTTAAAAGCGAGTTGGCACACACCTACCATCATTCAAACTTCTAAAGTCTGATTTACCCAAATTAAGTTCAGATGTTGTAGTAGACTTCTCCTCACATTTTCGTGGTCAATTCTAACAGCACAAGTCATGGTCCAATTTTATATGACATAATTGTCTTCAATACATGGAAATCAAGATGCATGTCTTCCTCATCTTAATGCTCTCCTCCAGAGTGTTTGTAGAAATGTCAAAGATTATGCCAGGACGATTGCAAATATTAATGTCAATCACCCTGAAGGGTTTTGGGGAAATGGTGTATTTATTCAAGTTTTTAAAACTTGAATAAACACTTTCGGTTTTTCAACACAAGTCATAGTCCAATTTTGTATCAAGTCAATGTTAGCGGGAAAACTTCAGAAAACTCTGTAACAACATCATCTCAATTGGTTATTTTTCTTCCCCTCTCAAAATGTATTCTGTTTTTGTTTCCATATGAGTTACAGGTTATTGGTCCCCCTGACCCCCTCCCCCCAAAAAAACCCAAAACATTTGAAACAATATACCTTGGTCTCTTTTTGTTTGTTTGTTTTTTTATATCACAAAACCTTGCATTGAACTTGGGGTGTGCACGCTTTTTATATCAACAATATCTGAACTGATCTTGTGTAGCGCGTGGAACCTTGGAAAAAAACAAACAGTCGATTAAGCTTTGAGTTGCATGATTAAGCATGAGTTGGCATGAACAAACAAACAGCCGCAACATTGGGTATATCTGCACCATTCATGCGGTTCTTGTACTTTTTAATTTTTTTTTTTTTTTACATTAAGATACAGACTTAGCACGTCTGCCTCATAGTCAAGCGGTCAGAAGTTCATCTCGGCTCAGGCGCTCCTGTGTAAAGTTTGCATATTGGCTTGGGTTTCCTCCGTGTACCCGCCATTCTAAAAACAAGCGAGTTAGGCTAACTAGAGAGTCTAAATTGCCTATATGTGTAAATGTGATGTGAATGGTTGAATGTCTTGCCCTACGATCGGGTTAGGCTGCAGCTCACCTATAACAAGCGTGGAAGAAAATGCGTACGTGGATGGACAGTGCAGGTGTACCGAATGAACAAACCGATAAGTATGACTCAAAGGAAACGACTTACTGTCGGGCCTGGTATTCCAGGTGCACCAGACAGACCAACATCACCCTGAAGAAAACATTGCAGTCATGTCAGACACACAGTGCATATAAAATAATGCAGTGTTTTTTTGTTTTTCCACATCATTGTCATGCTTTTGACAACAGGATAGCAGAAATTGAAGGTTAATTTGAAAATAACATGATTTCTACCCACGATCACAAAAGCTGATGAAGATGATAATAAAAGCTAATGAACTTGCACTTTGCAGGTCTTCACTTCGACAGCATTTCTCTCAAAGACAAAATGCTCCACCTCGTCACTACACCAGCAGCTTCTGCACATGTTTGATATATGAAGTTTCATGCAATGATATTTTGGAAAAGTGCTCCATGAAGTTGACTTGCAACACCCGCTACATCTCGTTATCCTCTCCTCGACGACAAGGCTTGGCAACTGTCATATATTATCATACATAATCACATCCTGATAAATAAATGATTTTATTTTGGTGCCCGTGCTCCCCTTCAGTGGTGAAAGTGTAACTTTCAAACCACAGTTGTAAAAAGATATCAGTAAACATGTTTGTGTTGACAAATGAAATGAGGAGAAGTTAACTACACGGTTGCTTTGTCCATTACTGGTTCAAAATCTTTGTTGGAAAATGTAAACAAAACCACCACATCGTGAAAAGCTTTTTAAAGTGTGTTGTTGAATGGCTAATTAGAAACTTCACGCTAAAGGATTAAGAGTGGCAAATATATTGCCAGAAGCCCCAAAAAGTCAAGCCACTCGATTCGCAGCATTTTGACGTTTAAAAAAAAAAAAAAAAGAAAATGGCAAATGTAGGAATCTGTCCTTAACTGTATGAATTTTATATTTAATACAAAGCAGTTATTCAATTAAGTTAAAAAAAAAAAGCTCCACTTTGCTCCACAGGTTTTATTGTTTTTATGAGATGCTTTAGCTTACCTTAGCACCCGGTAGACCTTCCAGACCCGGTAATCCCATGAGCCCTGGTTCCCCCTACAAGTAATCACATATGACACACTCAGCTGTGTAAATGTGTGTGTGTGTGTGGGGGGGAGAAAAATCACTGTTTGTGAAGACTAAAATTGGTTTCTTCTACTGTTGCTATTTTGGGCTGATGGTCTTGTCAGGGCAGTTGATGAGTTCTTGGAAAGAGTGGTTATTTTATGGCTGTCAGTAACTGTTAGGGCATCAAATATGGATCCAAACTAGGTGGCTCACGGTAAATTAAATTCTGCATGATCCACAACGTCACACATTTCGATCTTTGCTCTCAGCATCACACGTCAATGTGAAGATGATCCTGAGGGGACAATACTTCAGGCTCAATGCATGATATTGTATGATCTATGGCTTGCGCTGTCACAATTTGTGGGCTGCGGATGAGACGGAGAAAGAGCCGCCCCATTTTAAAAATCCCAATCAGGCTTACTCTGCGCCCTAAAAATAGAGAGCTATTCGCAGCTGCACGAACAAGAGATGGCCTCTATTGAGCTCATTTTGTTCAAGCTGCCATGAAGAAACGCCATTACGTGGAAAAGAGGGCCAACTGGCGCTGACATAGATGGATTGTGCAGGTAATTGTCACACATGTAGATTGTCACGAGTAAGGGAGCGCGTTTAAAGGGAGAGTGGTGCAACCAGGGGGATCAGCTGTGAGACGGATTGAGGCAATTCCGCCACAGCACTGCGGCTGCTCACACAATTTATTAAAATGTCAAATTAACATCAGGGTGAAAAATCACAGCGCAACAAAACAATAAAATCTACAATTGGCCCCAAGAATTCACTGTGATGGCAGCAAATTTGTTTCCAGGTCGGTGTGGATTGTTTTCAGGCATCAGTAGGTGGGGGACGGGGGTCGTAGATAGGGGCGCATTTGAAGAGTGTTGAAGATTCATGGGTTCCCGCCGGCAAGACAACGTGGTCCTACGATTTCATATTTTCAGGAGACATCACAGTTTGCGTGTGTGTGTGTGTGTGTTGGAGTTCAGCAGGTGGAGGCTTCAGAGTGCATCGACTTATATAGTGAGTACGCACATTGACTGAAATAAACCAACAACTGTCAGGTGACTCTAAAAGAACACATCAAATCAACAAACAATCTTTCATTGAAGAAAAACAAGTTTCAACTCACTGCGAGTCCTTCATCTCCTTTGGGGCCCTTGAAAAAAAAAAGGACAGATACATGTGACACTTGCTCTCAAAAATAAAAAAATGTACAGCATAAGATTACAGTCTGCGATAGTAATTTAAACTCAGAGGATACACCGACCAGCCATAACATTATGACCACCGGCTCTACATCATATATTCAACACAAGCGCTAAAAAAGTATTTAAAAAAGGAGCTTTTCCACAAGCAAACTTGCTGCTACAGCTTGGAGTTTCTTTGAAAGCGCCACTCAGTATTATAAAAACTGCTGTCGTTCTAATGACAAAATGGCAGTTAGATTTTGAATCTTTTTTTAAAAGATAATTTGGTTGTAATATACATTGAAGTGACACGCAAGCTGAAAAACATCTGGCTTTTATTTGATTGATCTCCAAACAGTCGTAAGCACAGTATTCCGATTACGTGACTTTTTGGGGTTTATCCCATTCATTTCAGATTTAGAGTGAGATATTGTTTCCAAATGGAATCTATGGCATTCCCGTGTCTCAGGAAAACTCCATGCTGCATGAATGGCAGCCAGCCTGAGACTTCAGTGAGTGATGCCTCTTTGCTGGGTGCGCACATGTGAGCCGCTTATACACGGTGCGTGGGCCGGAATTCGTTGCGGGAGTCATTGCGCATAGGTAAAAATTGCGCAAGCCAGGCGCTTAAAAAAAGACCTACATACGAATGGGAGCATATGGCGCTTTGTGAATCCTTTTCAGATCATTTTTTCAGTCTGTGTAAATCATCCTATTTAGAACACATATATCATCACATTTCCAGGATGCTTACTGTGCTACATGAATATCATCATGTTTAGAAAGTGGTAAATCATCAAATGTGCTGTGGTTCATAATATTCATCATGTTAGGCACATGTAAATTCTACATGTATTGTGCTACATGTAAATTACCAAGACTGAAGCTAGTCAATAAAGGAGGCAGCACAGGGAGAGAAATCCTTCAGCTTTAACCGTGGTTCAGGGAGATTCTTTTTATGTCCCGCCCCTCTCATGTGTTGTGGAGGATTGATCCCTGTGGGGCTTTAGATTGGATGTCTCCCTGGGCCTGAAGAGATTACAAACTGCCTGATAAGGAAGAGCAGTGCAAGGGGAATTTCAAAGTGGGCCATTCTGGCTTGACACTATGTGGCTGAACTCTGACTTCCACTTGCAAATCGCTGATGTTTTGTGCATCCCCGGGGCAGGTCAGAAACATCTGTGTGAGAATCGGGAGGCCGACCAAGCGGCAGCAGAAGCTCTCAATGAATGTGACCGAGTGTGATATGAGAGCCTCAGAAGCTGAGATAACACTGGCAAGCCAATGGGATATTTTTTCTTATATGTCTCTCTAGAATCAACATGTCTGCCTGCTGACGTTTCTTCATGGTGCACTTTGAAGGAATCACTCCAGGCATAACGATGATTATACTTACCGGTGCACCGGGAGCCCCAGGGGGTCCTAAAATAGCTCCACCACTCTGAAAAGACATGATTTTGACACTATGGCTTTCTATTCCAAAATATGGGTCAAGCGAATTTTAACCATAGGCATGGACGTTTTCTGTCAAAATGATTGATGGCATTGCACTGCGCACTCCATGCATCATTGTATCACCACAACGCTGAAGAAAGGTCTTTACCTGCCGCTTGTATAGACTGCTCATCCCATTGCCGTCCACATAGGGTACACCCTAAAACACAAACAGCAGTGCATCCCATCACATTTCATCCAACAGAGCATCCGTGCTGAGATTCTTAAGCATCGAGACTTGGGACAGTCGACCCCAGGCAGGTATTTACCCCTAAGCCTTGAAAAGCTACGCAGAAACGATCAAGGCCTCATTTGGTGATTTCACAATGACACGTGATGGGGGAGAAAAGAATCAAATGATATCTGTGAACATCATGAACCCAAACGTATTCCAAGAAGGGAGAACAACTTTTGAAGAGTGAGAATGAGGATACAAGCGAGACTTCTTTGGGTCCGTGTTCCAATGCAAACTTGTTTTTGCCCGATTTTGAATGAATGCTTTTAAAACAGAAAGGGAGTTAAGGTGCTCATTTAGACGCAAGTGGATGCCTGTGCCCTTTTCAGGCCACTGAACCATCCCCTGTCCTTCCAGACTGCACTTTATGAGGCCAGGGTGCGTGGGGGTGTAAGGCAGGTTCAAGGGGACGCCTGATGAATTATAGATTGGCTTTGGACGCGCTTACACTCACTGGCCTTTTAGAGGAAGCGAACATGGTTCAATGCCAGCAAACGGGTTCTCACAATGTCGCCATATTTGTACTTGTTTGTCATTTTTTATTTGATTTATTTATTTATTTTGCTCTTGTCTCACAGTAAATACTGTTATGCGGAGTGAAAGCAGACTCAGGATCAGTTGTGCGTGGAAGACGCATCAAGACAATCTTGTGACCTTAATAAAAACATTTGTTGAAATGTTTTCAGTCTGCTGATTCATAAATAAAATTGCCTTGAAAAAAACTAAATAAAATCACGAGGAAAGAAAAAAAACACTGCAAAGAGGACATAATACAATCAATCATGAAGTGCATATCCATTAAAAAACTTTGTGATGGAAAGAAGTTCAGCTTGTTTGTTGTCTATGTCAGACTGTTGCACTTTTTGTTTGAAAAGTGATTGCAATGTTTTATTGTTAGTTTATAATACCTGGATCACATTCAAATTTTGTGTGTACAACAGTGCTTGAGCTAGGGAAAAATAGTTTTTCTTTCTTTAAATTGTACTTTACGAACAGCCATTGTAGGCGGTATTAGTAACATCCACCCATTTTCCAAACTGCTTATACTAATTAAAATCAAAGAATAGACCGCAGTCATAATTTTGTCATGTTCTGTGTGTGTTTGTTTTGTTAAAGCTCCAGCTGGACTGAAGCGTGTTTCTCTCCAGCAGGCGCACCTGTTCCTTATTATATTCAAGCCTGTTCAATTATATAAGGACTGCCATGCTCCCAAGGTCTGGTCGGATTATTGACCTTGCTCACTGCCTCAAGTGCTATTTTCTGGACCTTCTTAATCTTGTTACTAATCGCTCTTGTCTGTTCAGATTCTGGTTTTGTAAGTATTTTTGTTCTAGAGATTTTTGCTGATTTGGTCACGTGTATTTGGACTCTTGCTAGTTCATTTTGTGTATACTTGGGTTCTGCTGTAACCTTGCCTTTTGCAAGCGCTTTCTGTTCATCTTTTGTTTTCTTTCTTTTTGTTGGCATCGATTTCTCTTTGTTATTTATTTTTCCTGAAAAATTTTTGTTACGGATTTGATTTGTGTCTACTTTTGTGGAATCCCATCACCATCCAGTTCGCCCACGAACTGTGTCAAATTTATTCTGATTTCCTCTTAAAAATTTAAGTGGAAGTTGAGTCAAGTAAATTATTTCAATAATATAGTCAATGTGGCCCCATTAGTCTAAAGCCGCTATATAATGCATCTGTTCAATATGAATTTGGCAGAAAAATCCACCCGTTATTATCCATTCAGGGGGTGGCCATTTTGCCTCTTGATTTAGATTGAAAATGACATCACAGTTGTTCACGGCTCAGGTAACAACCAATCATGGATCAGCTTGCGAAGGTCACACGTCCAAACTCAGAAAACGGGTGAATATATTTTTGTACAGAAAACTTTTGACTTCAATCAAATTCCCACCCTTAGTGCATTTGTAATTAGCAGCCTGAATTTGTTTGTCTGATAACTTACTGGAGGTCCTGGAAGACCTGGTTGACCAGGAGGTCCTTCATTTCCCTGTCAAATACAAACCAGAAAGACTTTTTTTTTTTTTTTTTTTTTTAAGAGAACCCCGGTCAAAAATAAATACTTTTCCAAGCTGTTGCAATTCATTAACATTAAAATAATCCATAAAAGAAAACAAGTTGAACAGAGTAAAATTCTAATTTAAAAACATACTAGAGGGAAATACAAAACTAATGATTAAAAAAAAAACTAAAAATCTCACTCTTTCCCCTTTGGATCCAGGTTGACCCATTGGACCTGGGCGACCCATGATCCCCTGCAAACCATTCAGCATCAAAATTTGTATCATTTGTTAGCAACCCATAATATTGGATTTTTTTGACAGATTTAAAAAACATGAATATCTTACCGGCTCCCCGGTGCGACCTGTCACTCCAGGAAGTCCTGGGACTCCAGGGGGCCCCTGAGACAGTGGCGATTTGTCACTTCCATCAAAATTGAACAATAGCAACATACTAAAATTTGCAGACGGTTGAGTGCACCTGAAACAGTGCTCTAGACATCTTTTTTTTATTTAACACATACACATTCAGGGCCGGATATATTCCTCACACCTCAGACAGCATAGAATGGGGAATTGTGCCCCTCAAGCATCCAAGAGTTTTTGATAAGTCGCATTAGACTAAAAAGGTCATCACATTTGGCAAAGGAATAACTGAATGTCAATCTTGTGCCAACTTCTTCCACTTTTTTGCACTCACCTCGTCGCCCTTATCTCCTGTGGGGCCAGAGAAGCCTCGCTCTCCTTTCACTCCCTGTGGGGGGGCAGAGCCAGTGATCCAGTGATGGAAATTGAGCACTGTGTGTGTGTGTGTGTGTGTGTGTGTGTGTGTGTGTGTGTGTGTGTGTGTGTGTGTGTGTGTGTTTAAAAAAAACCAGCATGTAAACTTGAAAATGTCTCCCTTATAGTACACAGCTAGAAATTGCTTCCTTGCATCAATGTAGAGCAACACTGTTTCCATAGCAACAACTTTTGCTGCAACTCCATGTCAGAGTACAAAAGATGTCTTTTCTCCACAGCTTATGAGGCTCAACAGCATTTTTGAAAATCTAAAGTTACATGCAATGTGCAAAAAATGTCGACATTATATCCATATGTTGGTATTTCCATCCAACCTTTGGACCTTCCTTCCCAGGATTCCCCATTGGACCTCTCACACCTGGATCCCCCTGTTTAGAAGACAAACACACACAAACGAATAAAGTGTCATCACCCAAGCAGGTATACTGTACATTGGATAATTTCAAGCGACCATGTAATTCCCATTATTCTTTTCTCAGACAGAAAACAACAAAGTCGCAACCTGGTCCCACCATTTGCTGTTTTAATATAAAGCTTCCTTGTTTATTATTACTGTATGTTAAATTATATTTTGAGAGCACTTATAAGATGGTCCATGACGGAAAGTGTACATGTGTGTTTTTTATTAAATAGTGGTTTCCAATGATAAGTGGTTTACCGGGTGCTGTGAATGTCCATTTTATGTTCACACGGAAAATGGCCAATTTATCAATCCAATGATTGAGAGTGGCGGCCTTTACAGCAGCTGCTATACTTTTTGATCTTCTACTGTCTTCCTCTCATAACTTTGCTGCTGTAAATTGGGAATTTCTCCATTGTGAGATGAATAAAGGTTTTCTTCTTCTTCTTCTTCTTATACCTATGTGTATCAACCATACTTAGTGCATTTAAATGACAACCAAAAAAACAATCATCAGCTCAAAACAAAGTCATATCCAAAACTGGCTCTTCTCTTGGCTATGTTGTGCTTCTATTACGCTTGGCCAATGGAGATGCAGTGCATGTTGAAAATATGATGACATAAAACATGTCACTAAGTCATTGAGCAATGTGCTGTTGACAATATATGGGAAATGGAAAATGTCTCCAAAATGCAAATAGTTTGATCCAAAATTAATTCAGACATAAAACAAGGACTTATTCTGTAAAAAAAACACACACAAAAAAACATATTTTGCGTGCAAAATACCTTTGGCGTGAATACAAAACCCCCCACTTCTTAGAAACTGTTACTTCCTCTGGGAGGGGACCCACCACTACTCTACCCCCTGTGATGGCTGGTTCTTAGCATATAATTTTTTTTTTCCCCGTCTCTAAACTCTTCAATCATTTTTGCTGTAATGTGAGCCTAATAACGACTGAGAACGAGACGCTTTAGGCAGCTTCACAGCTTTTCTGTGCCTGACCTAAATGTTCACCGTCAAGTATACAAAGAGCAGCAATAACTATGCACTTATTTTATTCGTTGCAAAATCCAGTGTGACATTTTACCCCATATAGCGAGACAGTGGGACAAAACATGTCGTAGGTTCACACAGTTTGATTCCTTTTAAGTCTGTACTCACAAAATATGAACATGAAATGAATACACAGTCTACACCTAAGATTTTGTCTTTCATCGGGTCAACATTATGTTTACACAGTATATGACGTAAAGTATAAAAACTGTGACATCATGCCCCCGTCTCTCCTCCTCTTGGTTTAATGCAAAGTGACACGATCGGGTCACAAGTGTTCACAGCATCTTACTAATAAGTCACATGTACCTTTTCTCCCACCATGCCGTCATGTCCGAGCACTCCAGGGGAGCCCTTCTCTCCCTTCTGTCCAGTCAGCCCAGAAACTCTCATCGGGCAAACACTGCAGGCATTCTAGCAGCACGTGGAGGTCAACGGAGAAATCCAGTGTGATCACGCAAATAAGATATCACGTGTGAGCCGAACACTGCATTTTCATCATTTATCATGTTTCATCCCGGAGTGGAGGACAAGACCCTAGCTGACACAAAGTGTTCTTTAAATGTCCGCATAGCAGAAATAACGTGAACCCACCAACGGCGTCTTTCATCGAGGTGAGCGGTGAACTTTGTCAAACTCATTGGCTGCGACATTTAGGCGAGAATTTTAAATATCACCATTCCTGATCCATTCTAAATATAAGGGCCGCACCCTCCATTAGAACATAGTCTGCTGTGCCGTTACAGGTAGCATTACAGTGGTGTTTTAAAATGAAAAATCTGCATGAAAATGTCACGAGTTTCTGATTTAAACAAAAACAGTACCTGTAAGAAGTGATTGATTGTTAAATAATAATAATCACAGTTTCGGAGATCAGCTTAACAATTCTTGATACTTTTTTTTTTTTTTTTTTAAAGAAAAGAGCTTTTACAGAAAATTCAATTACGCCGTAGCAGCAGCAGCATGAGATGTTTTCTAAAGCTTTTGTTACTGGCCCATTAGTGCTGGCAAAGAATCTGTCTCACTGCATGGTTTGAAAATGGTATGTTTCTGCAAGAAGTTCAAAATTGACATTAGAGTCATCTCTTTTGAATGTTTTGCGTCAATGTTGACCTTAGACTGCTATAATGCTTCTATGCTGAACAAAAATATAAAGGCAATTTCCAACACATTTCTTTTTGCTCCATTTTTTTTTCAGCTTTCCTTAAAAGAGCTCACATGTTTTCTATGTACACAAAAGGCCCATGTCTGTTAAATATTGTTCACAAATCTGTCTAAATCAACATTGGTGAGCACTTCTCCTTTGCCAAAATAATCCATCCATGTCACAAGTGTGGCATGGATGATCAGGAGTGCTCTGGTGGTCATGCCAATTGCACCTTCCCCTCAAAACTTGCGACGTGGCAATGAGCTTTGTGATAAAACTGCACATATTAAATTGGCTTTTTTTTTTTTTTTGGGTGGCCAACCATGAGAACCACCTGTAGAATAATCATGCTGTATAATCAGCCACATAATCTGACTAAACCACACCTACAGTATTGGGTGGATGGATTATGTCAGCATAGGAGAAGCGCTCACAAACATTTGTTCGATTAGGCCTCTTTGTCACAAATAATGAATTACTGTGGGTGACTTGAGCTTGGCCGTTGTGTCGCCGTGACCCCTCTCTTCCTTGGCTTTCTTATTTATGGCACTCTGTGGCATACTTATCTAGTTGAATCTAGTTTAGACCATCGAATCACACATTGTCACATGATGTGTGATGTAACAGTAGGACCCATTTTGGACATGTTAGATTTTCTTCTGCACCTGGCAAGAAAGGGCTCCACAGCCGTTTCTCGACCTTTCTGGCATCCATGAAATAGGTCAGCTGAGAATATAGTGCCTTCTGGTAGTTACTGTCAATTTAGTACAGTATTGTGCATCTAAGGTAAAAAGACTGGTAGAAGCTCATCAAAATGTTTCACACTACCGGTAATTGAGACAAATTTGTGAAAAATATTTGAGGAAATCTCCAAGTGATTGGTGACCAGTTTCGGGTGCACCCCGCCTCTTGCTCAAAGAGAACGGATGGAAAGAAAGAGGCTTTCTGTGTACAGAGAAAAACTGTTACGTATTTCAATCGGCTTATGAAAAATGGGATCAAAAACAAGTATGCTGCATTTATATTTTTGTGAGGCATCTTTTGCAGTACAATGAAAATATCTACATAAAGTTGTCCGTTTAAATGATAGCAGTCAGTGGGCCTGGAAAAAAAGGTGAGATAAGTATTTCAAAATGTATGGATGTAGACATCCTGATGGAGGCCCTCAAGGGCTTTAAATTGCTCTGTAGGCTCCTGCAAGTCATACAGTTCCAGATGAGCCACACAATGAGCCGTTGGCAATGCCAAAATAATGTATTCAAATCAAGAAAGCTGCTATTATTGATTAGAATGATAAAATACCTTGAGCAAAGCCCCCATATCTCCAACAATTGGTAGTGCAGTCTAAGAGAAAAAGAAAAAAAAAAAAGAAAAAAAAGAACATAAAACAGAAGAACCTTGGCTTGTAGTACATTTATTATATTACAAAACTATCCAGACACCCATTTTGGTGCGATAGACAGCGGTTAATAATGCTGTTTTATAATGCGTACATTGAAAGATTAAAACCATGAACACTTCAGAAATCGTTTAATATGTTTCATTTTTACTGATTCAGTGTACAAGACTGAATGGAAGCACTTGAATAATTTTGCTGCTCGACAACACAATCCTCAGGCCTTCATATTTATCATGTTACATTTTTTTTTCTTGAATTTCTTATCCACGTATCCACAAATGGTCAACGAATATGGTTTGTGAGTCTTTCCAACACAAACATTTTAAATGTAAAATGTCCATGGTTTTGACTTTCTCTCTTTTTATTTGATTTTTACTAAGCAGCAGCCCTCATTACCCCTGTCTTGTTGCAGACACCAACTATATGAAAACTATAGTTACAAACAGCGGTGGGGAGATAGCAGGGTGCTCTCAATTAGTCATAAACGCCACCACCTTCCTGGAGGTAATTTTCGGCCGCCAACAGCAAGCCTGGCTGCAAATTACCCCCAAACCGGAGCTGCGTTACTAAATTTACCTTCACGGTCCAAATGTGCATATGGGATTTTTAAACTTACCGGTTCACCTGGAGGTCCAGCAGGTCCGGGGGGGCCCGATCTGCCAGGAGGGCCCTTTAAGTGAGACAAAGAAAGAAGCTAACAATCCCTCTGGGAATGAAATGAAGCGAACACACCACACTGTAATTGTGCTTTCACATCCGTCACAGCTGGTGGCAATGTGTGATCTGCCACTCTTGAGATGACAGTCATGATGATGGCTTTTATCCGCACACGTGGCAGGGGGTGGATGGGGTGACGGGAACGACTCACCTCTCTTCCCGGAGCTCCAGCAGGCCCAGGTGAACCTGGAGATCCGCGAAGACCCTGAAAAATACCCATCGGCCTTGATGACTTAGTCCAAAATAACCGCTGACTGATGCAGATGCTAATGTTGAAATTATTTATTGTGGAACCTCCAAATTGAACACAATCCAGATTGGAGATGTTGGTTTATTTTTCAAGTTGTTCTTATTCGCCCCCCCCCCCCCAAAAAATGAAAACTTTCCAAATTCATATCAAGATACATAATCCACAACTCATAAAACGGGTGTCACCTATTTATTTATGAGTGTTACGTATCGTAAGTCTCACATGAATTGCTGACGGTTTGAACTCCAAGTTTTGACTTGGAGGTATATATTTTTTCACAACATTTTACATTTACAAAATGTACCACTTCAGAGGTTCCACTGCATAACAATTACTCTCCAGCTTTTGTACTTTCAAGAAACTGGAAATCAAAGAAAAGGTACGTTTTTCATATTCCACTAACCTCAACTCCTGGCTTTCCTGGAGGTCCCATGGGGCCCTGAGAACACATCACGCAGCTTGTTAACACTGTCTGCCCTCTAGCACCAGGGATCCAATAAAGCTATTGTGTTAGACACCTTTTGCTCATATTGATTCTGCCTCCAACAATTCCATATTAAAAGAAATGGAGACAGACTCCCTTGCAATCATGTCGGTGAGGTTGAAACGTGTACTGCACAAAATATATGATGGGGGGGGTGGATGAATGCCTGGCACACAGCAGGAAGCATCGAGCAGTAACAACAGCCATTTTCAGCAGAAAGTGATATTTACTGAGCGCTGGGTCCTTTTTTGATTTTTTTTACTGGGTGTAGATGTGAATGTAAGGTAAATAATGAATACGAAGAACAATCAAAATATACCGTCATACTCACAGGCATGCCTGTGATGCTCTCTCCAGGCTCGCCTTTATCACCGTGCTCTCCAGGTAGTCCTGGGATGCCTCGCTCTCCCTGACAAAAGAACAAGGCAGCAGTCAGACGGCTCAATCCGAATCTCCTGGAGAGCTGCTGCACTGCATGATCATTAAGTATTTAGACTGGACCCGAATGGATTTTTGCTTTCATGTTTTTGCCTTCTGCAGCTTGAAGGGCAGGAAATGTATTTTCAAGGCCAGTGGGGTGTACATGTTCCTTATCTACTTTATATGACATTCCGCACGTGCTGAGTGGCACACAATATGTCATTTGTTTTTCCCCACCATAACAGTGCCATTGGAAACCGCAACGTATTCAGTACTTTCAGCAGAAAAATCCTGACACAAAATGCTTTTAATAAAAAATGGACAGAGGATTAGACCATCAAAAAGACATCATGCCTCCCCTCCTGGGTACAACTTCGACTCTTCTGGGTTTTGGAGTGTGTCTTTGGGAATTTGTAGCAATTCATGCACAACTGCATTGGTGAGGTCAGAGGTAAAAAAATCCCTTGTCTGTTGTAGTTCATTCCATAGTTGAACAGGAAAGGGTCTACCTAAAATTGGGTCTACCTAAAATTGTAAAACAGTTGGGAGCATCGTCTTTTCACACAACATCTCTGATGAATATTTACAATTTTTACACGCTCATCAAAAAGTCATGTATTTCAATACATATCACCATCTACAGGATGAACAAATGGATGCGGATTCTGGATGAATGGTGTCTGTGATTATCTACGGTGTCGGTGCTTTACCTTGGGGCCACGGGTGCCTCTGGACATAGACAGCCTATCACCCTGCATGTCAACATGAAAGAAAAATCAGAAACAAAACGCTCCACAGTGCAAACAGTTTGAAAAGTGACACAAACTCATGTTAAGCACTGTTTGCAATCTGTACCAAAGTATAGATTGGCAAAAACAAACATCTTATCTGTTATCGTTCTTTTACTTTAGAGTACAAAGATGACATTGATGACTGTGGTTTAACAAGCCCCACAATCCATGTTGTAGATTCGCTTCAAGATGGTGGATTGGGATTAACAATGACACCATTTCCAGGAGAACATCATTACCATCCAATCATAAAAGTGAGCAAAGAAAGACAGACCACCATCATTCATTTACGGGCAAAAATCAATTGAGCGACAGTTATTTGAAGAGGCCTGCCTCATTAAAGACACGCACTGAGTTCATTTTATCGCTTTTATGGTCGTCTTAAATAACAAAGATCATAAAACGTGTGGAAAAATATCTATGTTCCCTCAGAGACACTTTCCAGCAATGACATTCGCGAAAGGACCTCCGCCCCCAAAGACGGCGTCTTATTTCGCGCACGTATCACTTCAGAAACATGAAAGATGAATAAACACTTCAGCCTGCACTAATTCCTGCCGTTATTTTTCTGCTTGATGAGCTCGCTTGAGGCTGAGCGTTGTTCCCAAGAAAACAAACAAGAACCTTCAAAGCTATGAAGTCGATGGAGGACCGTGTCACCTGTTTGATCAAGCTATAATGAACATTTTTTTATGCACAGGCACGTCCGTAAAACACAATGCGTCAACAGCCATCATCTTGACATTGGTAGGAGAAATGACAACCTGGGGTGAGGTTATCCAATATTTGATTACTTAACCACTTGCGTCATGATCATCGCATGTTTTCGATGGAGGCTACCGCCGGAAGGGCGACTTTTGCTTATCTGCTGCTGAGTCACAAACTATGCTTGATGATGCTGTTTGTTTTGACCTCTTTCTACTTCTCTTTTTACCTCATTCAGGACACGGAACAGATAAACGTGACTACACACCACATATCCAGGCTCTCCAGGCTCGCCCTTAGGTCCCGGAGGTCCTTGAAGCCCCGTCACTTGTCCCAAGTCCCCCTACAGAAAGAGTCATGAGTCATGCAATGCCAGACTATCTAATTTGTGGACTGATCCCGTTTATTGTGATCATTCTGAAAGAACAAACTTTGTCCTTGGTGACTTCTTGAACCCCCCATAATAGCATCAAATGGCCACTTTTGTTTGAAAGTTGCTGCCTGCATGAGAAACAACGTTTTTGGTTCCTGTCTGAAGTAATTTATTGCAATCCTTTCATGGATGCAACTAATCCCAGTAATGGTGACAACTTGCTTTCTTTTCCAAAATCGAAATGACAGCTGTCAAATGTAAGGAAAACAACAAAGACGGAGAAGCACGGCAAATGTTTTTACAGTGTACAGTGGGACAGCATGGTAAACTTAGTTTCACTTGCAACTTTATGTTCAATTCTGTCACTGTCTGTAGGGGAGGGCAATGCGACTGGTGGAGCCATGACGAAAACAATCAGCATCCATGAAGTAAAAAAATATCACGAGGAAGGCGAACATTTTCTACCCAGTGTGGCTGAGTATAAGCAATTTGCAATGATGAGGGGGGGCCAAAATATCCCCAGGGAGATGTGAAATACTCGTTGCCAGTTGTACAAAGTACGGTAGCTTTCATTCCCCCCCTTAATGAAAAAAAAAATCACCATTTTAAAACTGCCTTTTATTTTTACTTGGGTTTTCTTTGCCTGATGTTTACGTTTGTTTGTTGATGTCAAGTGGGGAAACTATGGAAAAAAACCCCCCAAAATATTTGACAATGCTTTTTTCATGGCACTCTAAATTACACACAACCCGAGCAAGTTCATCTATGTCTCAATATGACAAGAAGGAAAATATTTAAGCTTCCTGCAAAAAGGGCATGCCTTGCCAGAGTAGATGGAAGCACCTATGCAGCCTTACAAAGACGCACTTTGTGGTTCATTTAAGCACACTTGACATTCTCTCTGCAGCCACATACTTTAATGGCTTTATGTGCATATATTTGATTTCCATTCAAATCTACTCTTGAAATTAATATTTGTTTTTGTTGTGGCTCTCATATGAATACATAATCACACCTGTCTCTGGCATTAGTTTGCATTAGTGGAGGTGACAAATGGAGGGTTCTCAATCTGAGCGGACGGAGGAAGCTTAAGTGCTTGGAATTAGATTTATTTCTCTGCCCTGGAGTTTGACAGAATGACTGTGTCGGAGGTAGGAGGCAGGGGTGGGGGTGGCCTAACAACAATCTCAGCATGTAACATTTAGTAACATCCATTGTTTTGACAAAATGGTTTTACCCTAAGGTACAGTATGCTTGTTTTTGCCACTAAACAATAGGGGGGGGGGGTCGCGTGTAAAGCGTCATTTATTTTGACAAGCGACACACCTCATCAAACTCGCGTGTCAAGGCGCACACTGTTGCACTTTGTCACTTTCGATCGAGTGTTTGGAACAAATCCTACTGCAAGAGGGGTTCGTGTAAAATTGTGGGGTAGTCGAGGGCATCAAATGGAGGCAAAACAAAGTTTTGGCCTGATTGACGATGGCACGAAAGGCATGTGAGTCATCAGGAAGATGCCTCGTATGTTGAACTGCGAATAAAAACATCACAAAATCTCCCTTTTTTTTCTTTGAGGGTGAAAACTTGATTGAATGATTTCCTACCTTCTCTCCTTTTAGGCCATCTCTCCCAGGCACCCCTGGTGAGCCCTGTAAACAGAAATGAGGACAAAAAAGACATCTATCGGCAGACCTTCATCTCACACACCTTCATCTCCACAGCTTCCTCCTCCTCCTCACTGCTTCAGCACACTGTCACGTTCCAACATAATTTCCTTTCGACAGGATTTATAAAATGTCTCTTTTTGCCCTCCCTGCTTTTCAAGAAAGACAGATGCTCATTATCAAACAGGTGCAGCAAGCAGATTGCACTTTTGTTTTTTTTTTTTGGACACAAAGCGCAGACATTTTCTTCTTTCCGCTAATTAATTATTAAATTTGCTGACTGACTGCTTTAGTTAAAAAAAAAAAAAAAAAAAAAAAAACTGGCCTTTTCCCCCTACCATCTTTTTTTTCCGGGGCACACATCCAAACATCGAAGTACCGCCGACCCACTTCCCTCCCATTTTGGTCATGTAGGGGCACTGGCACTCACTCACTCACATTGACAGATTACTTTCCTAATGGAATTTAATTATTTATCCCTTCCTCATGGCGGTTTAGCCAGGAAAAGACCGACAGCAGCAGGAGGCAGCAGGGGAAGGACAGGACCGGAAGGTGGGAAGGAGGAGGGAGGGAAGGGGGGGGGTGCTCATTTCCTTGTGGCAAAATCTGGACCACCTCACTTTTTTTTTTTTTTTTTTTTTTTTTTTTTTTTTTTTAAAAAAAAAAAAAAAAAAAAAAAAGACTGGACTCTTCCCTCTGACATCCTGTTTATCGCGGTATTCATCAATTGATCTCAGGCTCAGTCTGGCGAACTGCGTTGGAAAGCCAAGGTGACAGATAAGGCGACAGGCTTGACATTAACTCTGTTGCAGGTATACTTACAGGCTCTCCTGGGGGTCCGGGGAGTCCAGTTGGTCCAGATGGACCATGCTTGCCCTGACAGAACAAAATGTATATATAAAAAAAAATATATATTAATTTTGTTCTCCCTCTATTCATGTAACTGGTATTCTGTTGATTTTAACGTCCCAGCTAGCAGCAAGCATTTGCAGGATGTACTGCCCTGTAATGCCTTTGAAAATAATTAAAATAATAGAAAAATATTTAATAAATAAAGAATGAAAATCAAAGTTGTGATCTTGTCTGTATACCAGGAAAAAACATCCGATGTGTTATTCTCGATAAATGGGGAGTTAATGCATGTTTCTTTTCAACTCATTTCACCTCAGATCACCTCCTAAAATGATCTCAATTCAAATTTGCTTCAAGTTCTCCGATCAGTTCACTTAATCTCTGAAATGTGAATACACAGGTTCGCGTTTTCCTACACTGCCAATGCATTACTTCATCATCCCCATCAGACATAAACGGGGCCAATAAGAGAACTGAATCCTCACTCCTTCAGCACACTGTCGGGTTCCAACATAATTTCCTTTCGACAGATTTATAAAATGTCGCTTTTTGCCCTCCCTGCTTTTCAAGAAAGACAAATGCTAGTAAGTGTAAAAAAAAAATAAATAAATAAATAACTACTTTCAGTGAAGAAATAATTTAAACGCCAGACTCACCTCGGGACCTTGATCTCCTTTTTGTCCTTGCAGCCCAATGTTTCCCTGTGAAATCACCCAAAAGGATGAGAATGGTGTGAAAATGAAGTACATTACCTTTATAACTTCAGTTGAAAACTAAAGGTTTCTCAATATTTGTGGCCCATGATGTCACATTTCAACATCTTCATTGTGTTGAATCCCTGCAGCCCTTGAGTTCACAACATACCGTATTTTTTTTATTTGAGAAAATTACTTTTGTCAAAAAGATATTCAACAATGCTTACCCCGTCTCCTTTTTCTCCTTTCTGCATATTTATCATTTCATCCTTTCGCACACAGGACAAAATAAAGCAGTTCAAAATGTGACTCAGCAAAACATATTTAATTCTCTCATATTTGCGAATCACCAGTGGTTTATGATACAATGGAGTTGCTTACAGTTCCAGAAAAGGTCTTCAACCCATGGGCTGTCATCACCTAAACAGAATGAAAAAAAACAATCATCTTAAAAGAATCTGCCAATGATTTTATGATGCATAAATACTTTTGATGCATGTCATGTATACTTTATAAATACACTCAATGGCTACGAGCACATACCTACCGAATCCATTGAGAGCCAAAACATACACAGTGACAATTTTGATCCCCTCACAAAGAAAACCAAAGCATGAGAAACATCTCTCAGCTTGCAATACAGCTCAATATGACATAATCGTCAATAATGAGGTTGATATTTAACATCCAAAATACACAAAAGATTATGGTAGTTATTGTTTGTAATGTGTCTAAAATTCCAGTCATTTATTTTCCATCTTCCTCTCACAACCTTGCCCCAAACAAGTTCAATCTGCACAGAAGGTAACTCTGATGCCACTGTCAATCACAAGGCCACAAGTTCTATAGCTCCTTGACCACACTGTAATGAGTTTCTGTAAATTTACAGTGAATTTATAACGGTCTCTTGCTGTTTTTGTTTTTCATAAAATACGTAAAATACGGTTAAATATTCTTCCATAGCATGTAAACTAACCGTTAAATAAGTCAGGAAAAACAACGGTCGATAACTGTAATTCAACAGTATAAAATTCATCCCATTTCATTGCCGACCACAAGACTCAACTAGATTTGCAGATATTCTGAACTAAACGTAAAGCACAGGAGGGCGGATGTGGCTCAGGAGGTGGGGTGGGTTGTCCAGTAACCACAAATCTCGCTGTTCAAATCTCGCTCTGTCCGAGTCATGTGTCAGTGTGTCCTTGGGCAAGACATGTGAATGTACAAGTGTAATAATAATGTATCCATTGTGGACAATTTGAATGTCTTACAGAAAAGCAGCATACAAAGCTGACACGTTTCTATTCTTATTAAATATCAGATTTCATATCTAAACAGGCATGTACCGTATAATACGAAAACACACTTATCCTACTATCATGAACTGTAATCCAAAATGCAGTAGTATACTGATGAAAAAAAAATAACAGTAGCTACGGTATAGAATTAACACACCACGTTATCTGATGCTAATATTCTGTAGTTCAAAATACAGTTGTAGACTTACAATACATTTCAGTAGGTGCATTGTAAAATAACGTTAAATTACTGGCGTCCCTGCTGCCAGTATTTTACAGTTAATGGATTCATAGGCTTTAAGATGAATCATGTACATATATACGAATGGCTGTTTTGTGCATGTGATTTTGATGCCGGCATTCATTTCATGGCAGATAAAATCAACCTAAACGCCTTCTGTCCTCCTCTGTCGCACGTTTCCCGCCCACATTATATGATATAATAAGTGAGTCGATGTCCAGTGATTTAAGCATCATACTTAATGAAATGAGAAACAAAGTAAGCGAAAGCCGCATCTAGGAGGAAATGCAAGCTGTCCTTAAATCTTAAGTTCAATCTTAAATGAGACAGCTTTACCATTTTTTTTAGCATGTCGCACTCTGAATTGACGTGTTTGTGCAGGTGCATCAGCACAATGTGTGCTTATGAGCCTTTTGAGACAATTACAGTCATTAAGTAATGTTTAACTACATTTTTTTTCCATCTGGATCAATAGGACGCTGAAGCAGACACTGGATCATCTGCTGTCTCAAAGGGCCGTCCGCAGCGTCCATCAAAATCCAACATGCAGTCACTTGTCTCATTTTCTCACTTTAGAAACTGATCAATGTCTCAGCGCAATCAACATGCAGCATCGTTGTCAATTTCGCACATGAGCGGTGAACTCTGGCATGCCAGTATTTACTCAACACAGCTTAGGATGCCAGCTTTAGTTGAAGGCATTACAAAGCTCCACTGTAAAGTGAGGCTGGCAGCTGTAAAAAAAAAAAAAAAAAAAATTGCTGAGCACAAAAACCTGTTTTTCCACTTTAAGGC